TGGCCCTGCCTGTGCCCCCCACTCCCTACCCAGTCCCCTGCCCCCACAGTGCCCCTCACACCCAAGCCACAGCCCCCCCAGCCCTTCACTCCTGACCCATAGCCCTGTGCCCTCCCCCAAGCCCTGCTGCCCACACAGCACTTTGCTGCCCCTGAAGAACCCCCCCACCTCCTTGCCCTGCCTCCCCTCCCTGCTGCAGCCCCAGCCCCAGCAGGCATGCACATACGCACATGCACAGCCATGCACCCCACACAGCCCTCCAAGCCCTGGCCGTTCAACTCTGGCCCCCACAGACTTACTTGCTTACAGCTGCTGGGACCATTCACAGATGCATGTGATGGCCCTGCCTCCACTTGTCCAGCCCCCAATCCCCGCAGCCCCAAGCAGCACCTAGCTAAAGCAAGCCAGGAAGTGTTGGGAAAGCAAAGGCAGAGCAAAATCCCAGACACTTACTGATATTTAAAAAACTGCCTAGACGGAGGAACCAAAAAGAGGACTTGTCTGGGAAAACTCAGACAGATGGTAACCCTATCCTATATTCCAAATGTTATGCTAAATCTTCAGATGTTGGCAGGTAGTTCATATGACTAAGCACAAATCTCTAGCTATCTCTGCTCATGAGAGATATGATAAAAGCCCAATGTTAAGTCAGAATACAAAATATTAAGATTTATGACTTATATAGTCACGAACTATTTTAATTCTTCCCCTAATATACACTGCTAAAATGAGAGAAATAAGTGTCTTGCTAAAGAAGAATTGTGTAGACTGAATAAAGTAGAGAGGTAATATTTTCTACCATGAGGGTTATGACCTTTGGTCACATTAGGATTTATAACATTTTTATAGCTGATTTTCCCTCAGTAGTTTATTTTATGTAATACCAAGTCTTAGATAAGTTAGCTCTAAAATAAAGAGGAATCCAGAATGCCTGTTCAATTCTTGAAGCCAGTGGCATTTCATTTTTAACTAATAACTTTTTATAGGTACTTCTACCGTTCTTATTTTTCCTTTGAATAATAAGCAGCTCCTACATACTATTGTATAGCGCGTGTCAATCTTAGGATTCACTAAATCAGAAATGAATACATTAACAAAGCTATCCTCTTTTTTTAAATAGAGTTGATTTGTTCCATTATCCTTTTCTTGACTTCTGGGGGGAAGTTAGCTCCCTACTTAGATGGCGTAACAATGCAGAGTTGGAGAGAGATGATGCTTCAGCCCACATGTGGTAGCATGGTAGTAGATAAAAAAGTGCCAAAAAGGCCTGCTGAAGCACCCATTCTATACAGAAACTGGGGAGCCGGGTCAAACTAAAGTACTTCCTCTTCTGGTAAAGTGTCATTTGTTTTGGGGGTTTTTTGTTTTGTTTTGCTTTTTTAACATCCATCACTGGCCAGAGAAAACAAAGATCTCAAGGGAGTAATGTTGGGACGAAAGGAGCACAAGGCCATGTTATATAAAGATGACAATCTTCTATATAACACTCCAAGCAAACAGATAAGTATCTGAGGTTGTACAAACTACTAAAACCTATGGCAACTTGTTGGGATATCAAATAAATTATTTTCTTATAAATTAATTATAAGTCCCCTGCACTGATTGATATTTGCTAATACAGAGAGTGATGAGGTCTCTCTACAGAGTATAATCCCATGTAAAGTGAATAAAATACCTAGGAACTAAAACTACAAAAGATACCACATTTTTATATAAAGCAAACTGTCTCCCCCCACACTGAACAAATGAAAGAAGAACTGCATTTTTGGCAAAATCTTCTAAGTTGGATGGGAAGAATCAACACCATGAAGATGATGGTCCTCCCCAAACTATATTCAACCTTGCTCTGTCTTTAAAGATGTCTGTAAAATCATCTGATTATCAGCAACAGGATGTGGGTTTGCCAGGATATGGCACCTTAAAAAGTCTTGCTCTGTAGCCCCAGTTTTTAAGGCTCTTTAAGGTGCTAGGCATGGCGCAGTTCTGGGTTTTGCCTGATCCTCAGGATTGGAGAGGGGACAGCCCTGGGTCCGAACCAGATTCAGGATTCAACACAGGGCCACCCTGGGGTCTGGGACAAAGCTGTCCCCTGCTCAATTGGCAGAATTGGGTTGGCTAGGGGCAGGTCCGGATCCCAAACCCAGCTGCCCTTGCTCTGTCTCCCAAGGATGGTGAACACCTCTTTAAAAATGGGCGAGTGTGAGTTACATCCTTTGAAATCTACCTGTGGGATGTAATAAATATCTGGATGCCATTTGCGAAGCATAGGCCACGGTGTAGGGA